ATCCTCATGGAAAATGGCAAGATGGTTGAAAATGGCAAGATGGTTGGAACATAATGGATCCTCAAGCTACATCCATTTGTAAGCATACTAATGTAAGAATGCTTTTCATTAACAAAAATACTTTTTGCAAGGTAGAGTTTAAGTTAAAGAAAAAGAAGCTGTAGGCCATTCTTAAATTTCTGTCAATTCTATGCTCCAAGGCACAGTAATACACAGCTGTATTTTGGCTGTCTTCTAACTCATCATGTTACATCCAACCTGTAGACTTCCATGAAGTTTCAAAACCTATCTAGCTTGTCAACTTTTTTCCTCAGCTTTCAGTGCCCTATTGAAACCTCACATTCAAGGTCAAACTACACCTTTTCTGCTCTACGTATTTCCATTTTCCCTCCCCTACTACTACATCAACTTTCATATTTATTATCCTATTTCCCAGGGTGATGTCACTTTTTACCTTCTGCTTACACGACCAGTCTGACGATTTCATAACTTCTCCTCTATAAAACTACATAAACCTTTTTCTTCATCATTTCCCTTGCTCTCCCTACTCCGTCTCAACTGCTAAAATTGCTGCCTGTGAGTTACAACAAAGTACATTGCCTCTATGTCTCAAATCTCCTTATTCCTGCCCACTGTCCCCTAAACTATTCTACTGAGCTTTGCTCCATTTTGTCCATTCTCATTATACACACGTTCTCATTATACATTAACACTTTCTCCACCTCTCCCAAAACTCTCCTATAAAATTGATTTATTTCATTAATTCTTGGGAAGTTGTCACCATAATCAACCTTTGTTATTACTTCATCTGTCGTGTAATTTCGTCTTTTTCTATATCTTATAAAGTAGCACGCATGTTTATGGCACTACTCAAATATTTTTCATAGTTACTTTACATCAAAGGTGCATGTCTATATTAAAAGCAGAAAAAAAACCCTGGCAATTTCTAGCATGTGAATTTTTACAACTATTTCCATCAATCCTCAGGTCTGTTGTCTTTTAAGATTATGCCACTTTTTTCTCATAACCTCTGCCAAATCACAAGGTAATAAGATTAGGTTTAAAATTGTTTGATTAAAAAGTAATTAAGTCCTCAACATTGTAACATCATGCATTGTCTGCAACCAGAGGAAAATAACTTTACAGAAAGAGGACAGGGGAAGAAGTGAAAATGCGTTTGAAATATGTCTATCTACAGGAGTAAAGTTTGCATTAACAAAAACGCACAGTAACAATATCCAGTAGCGTGTCTCTGTGGTCTCAGATTTTAACTAAATTCAGGCATTTATTCTACCACATTAAAAGTCACCGAAATTGTCAAAGAGCACAGCAAAATACAATTTTAATATGCTCTACCTTAGCACTTTTTTTTTTTTTTTATTTTCAAACTTCTAGTCAAGATCAAAACGCAAGTAAACAATCCTGACTATATTAAGAAGTCTTAAATCTAAAGAAGCCCATTTTACAGATGGGTTAATTAAGACAAAGTAGATGATTTCACCAAACGACCAAATCACTGTTAGAACTTGCAACTCCAAGTTTTCATACCTGTATGAAGACTGGTATATCTACTGTTCTACAGTTTCTTTAGTGAGGCCCATATTTAATCAGTTAACAGAAACAATAACTTCTGTGAAGCATCAAATCTGATCCCATGGAGGGTAACAAACTTACCAAAGCTATTAATATGAAAATCAAGTTGATAACTCATGGAAATGAACCACCTCCTCCCCGAATAACATTTATATAATCTGAAAATTTTTAAGAGTCAATTTTTACACTTCATTTGAATTAAACCCTATCAACTGAGGCATACTTACCAGTTCTTCTTGTAATGGTGCCTTCTGGCAGAACGTGTCAAACCACAAGGGAAATAATTTGGGCTCTGGGGATCTCTGAACTGGCTTATTAAAAAATTAACTACTTCATGAAAACCTTGCCAAGAAATTGAGTAAATCAGAAAACATGGATCTTTGCATTGCTACTGATAACCTTCCAGTACCAGAGCTAACTTGTTACAGCCTATCAAGACATCACTACACTAAAGCATGTTTTGCAAGTGTACATTTCCTTAGAATTCACAATTTCTGATTATATTCTATTTCAAAATATATGACTATGTTTCAACAAATACTGCCCTCATCATTGAAATACGATACCAAATGATAGAGCAGATTACAGAAGATACTTTCACAACAAAATCGAGACATTTCAAGTTTCTTACATGTTTATTTTTTGTCCTTTGAGTTTAGTTGGTCTCTGAACTCCAAGAGTCGGGCACTTTGTTGGGCACTGATTGGCGATAAGACTCTCAGTGGAGTTAAGTTCCGCACATCATCCTGCAAATATTGTAGCCATATTGCTGCCAAGGAGCCCTTGATACTCAGGAGGGAAGTAAAATCTCTACTTTTGCTCTGTGGTCCACACCTGGCAGAGCTGAGATCTGTTAATTTTCTCAAATTACCTGAGAAGGTCTAAACATGTAGGCTATTACTCATCTTTAGTACTGTATTAAATCACAACAATCTCCCCTCTAGGTATGGAAAAACCACAAAGCAAATACAGACAGGGAAGAAAGGGAGGCAAATCAAAACAAGAGGAAAGGACAAGATCAGGAGGTAGCCTTTTAAGGACAAACTGTACCTTACGCAGTTATTTACGCAGTTTCATAATATGTTTTCCAGAAAGAGCTCCCCCTACTATAAGTTTTAATCATCTAATAAATTTGACATTTTTTAAGAGCACATTAGTCCCAAGGGTAAGAAGGTATGCTCTTCCCCATTTTCAGAATGTTGTCGACTTTTTTCTTCCCCCTTAGAGCTAAATTTAAATAGTTTCTGCTTTCGTTTCCTCAACTAGCTTAACTTTCTCCTGTGCTGTAACTTGCATTTTTTTCACAGTTTGCAGCCAAAACATTTTTGACACTCTACTGCTCCTCTCCATTTAAGATACCTTAACTATCTTCCTGTAATCTTTTGCCTTAAGCTCAAGCTTCTTCCTTGTCTCTTTCAAGGTGCTACAGAAAACCTGTTGCAGCTAACACCTTACTGCAGTCACTGATGCACTCTCAGGGTTCCTGGTGGGAGTCTCAGTATTTCTTCCATTTTCTCCTGCAGTCATTTTCATGCCCTCTCCCATTACCACGAGAGTGAAATTTGTTTTTCTCCACTGGCACATGCCTTTACTCTCTTTCAAATTTTTTCTGATGCTCTTATTTACAAAGTTCGTATCCTGAGATCTTTTAGGGCATTACACTCAGAACCATCTCTATGACCAGACTGTAAATTCCTTATGTAGAGGAAATGTTCCAATGCTCTTGTAACGCAAAAAGATCTCTGCTGCCAACATTACATTAATTCCTTTCTTGCTGATAGCGAAATGTTGGATGTAAATGCATGTTGTCTTCAGTTCTGCTGTGACTCTACTTGTGCACTGAAAGGTGACAACACAGGAAGAAAGAACAGACACGTTGCTGCTTTGCCTGGTACCAAATTGGTTAAAATTGTAAAATGTAAAGAATATAGAAATTCTGAGGTGATTGTACAAAACAACTGCTGCCAACATCAGGATGCACCAGTGGTTTAGAAACTTAGCATAAAACGTCAAGTTTCCAAAATCCAGATATCCAGGCTCAGGGTCTAATTCCATAAACTACAGAACAAAGAACATTTTAAAAAGCAGCAAGAATCATATTTTGTAAGTGAGGGCACCTTGCAGTCTCAGTCAGAGAATTACCACAACAGAAACTGTGACCTTTTGTAACTAAAACTTCCTCTAAAATTTATGTTTCTTTGTTTGTTTGTTTTTAAATCAGGCTCCTATTTATTTTACTGCGGATATGAAAAGGGAGGAAAGCAAACTTATTTGGAATACTGCACAATTAAAAGCTAACCTTTGGCACCATATTAGTGCATTTAATGTTTAGCACTAAATCCAACATTTGTCAGCAGTGCCTATACATTCCTATCTGACACTTTTCCAATACTTGTAAACAATGTACTAACTGTATTTTTTGGATGGCATTCTTATGGCTCACCATTTAATTTACATGAGTTATGTTATAAACAAACATACTCTTCCCCCTTGCCCCCTCCTCCCGCCCCCAAAATCCTACCTCACACAGTAAGTTTCTTTATTGTTAATGTCTGGTAGACAATATAGGACCTAGTACTTACAATCACATCTTGGAATACAATCACGCTTAAGTCTGTGGCTTTGAAACTTCACCTACACTGGATATCTGTTAAAAATTCCTCCTGAAATGACTGGAACAATTCTAAAGGAACACCTCCAGTACTAGCAAATCCAATTGGAACACTTCCAAAAAAATCTCCACCGTTGCATATGGAAGGGGCAAGATACCGTCCAAAACATTATACAGGAATTCTGAAGTATAGTGTGGAACTTTCCCTGCAGACAGGTGAAAGTATAGAGAACTGTAAAAATACTAAATAATTCCAAAGCCTTATAAATAACAAACATTGAACAGATTTACTAAAATATCTTACATAAATAGCAAAATTGAACATGGATTATCTGACAGAAAACTTTTCTTTTTCCTTTTTTAAACACTGAAGTAGATTGATAACTCGTAATAAAAAAGAGAAAGGCCAACAAACATGTAAGCGGAGAAGAGTTGTCAACTGAGGTGTGCAACAAGAAATGCCAAGTTCCTGCTATAACCATATGTGTTGGGAATTGGTTTAAGAGGGAGCTATAGGTGGATGCTTTATCATCCAGAGGGGCTGTAAAATCAATCAGTCAGCACTTAAGGCCCACACAGTATTTAGCAATGGGGCCATAAATTCCAGTGTCTGCCACGAATTCCAATTTAGAATATTTACAGGATATTTATTTACATTTTCCTGACTGTTCTGCAACATTGATTTGAAGTTCCGGGTTATCTGACACTCTTAAGTTGTCCCAAAAATGGCTGCACTTAACGGAATTTGAAATGTTTTGCTATTTACAGTTTGCTTCAGGCACTGGTTTAGATGACAAATATTCAAAAAGAAAGTGTTTATTCACAGAGCAAAATATTACAAACACTGGGTCTTTTCTCCAAGCTGAATCAACTGCAACAAATACTTTAAACTATGTAACCTAGAACTCTAAACAAAGTCGAACAGAATGGCACAAATTGTTTCGGCATCCATAGAAAACCTAAGGAATTACGTCGCATGAAATGCTAGGAGCTTAAAGAGCTGGCTTCAAACATGGCATGGTGAACTGTTTCATAAAACTACTAATTAAAAAATATGATCAGGACAAAATAATTTTACGCAAAAAAAATTCTTCAATATGCTAATTCAGACATCATGGCCTGGAGGTTAGCACTGGGGTATCTTTAATTTTCTAGAGTTCATGAGAATTTCATATGGCAAATTCTCTAAAAAATTCATTTTCAGAAAGAACACCCTGATAGCTTCTCCATGAAATTCTTAAACTTCTGTATAAGGATTTTCATCTCCATTCCATTCAGTGACAGTTGTTTTATTTTTTCTAGACACAGGAAAATTACACATCTGTAAGTGTTCACTCAAACTGCTTATGGCTTTTTCACTGATGATTCTCTGGTTTTCTAGAGGTTGAACATAAACATGACCAACAGACAATCTGTTATACTCTTTAAGAAATACTTAAATTTAGTTTGCAGCCTTCTTATTTACTTATCACATCACTTAATCACCAAGAAAAAAAAAACAATTGTAATTGAAAAGCTTCTAATTGATACAGTTAATATCACATCTTGCTTTTTTTTTTTGTGTAATACAAAAGCCCATAAGTTCTTTTAATTATTTTATAAATAGAAACAGCAAAATTGACCTTTCTCCTTCAGGTATTGGGGACTGAAACTCCACAAAGGAAAGGAAGTCATGATTTTTATAGCAATGCAATATAAATTTCTACATGGAGGAACGTCCTCCACCCTCCTCTTACCCGAAAAGCAGCTTTTCAAATCACCGTACAACCCCACAATAATATAAATGGAAGAATTTACAGTAAATCAGTTTGATGCTGAAGCTAACTGAAGGATTTAACTTGTACGAAGCACTGTATAAAACACAGGTTCACTGCCCAAGGTTATAGAGCATTACTGTCCAAAATGTTTAAAATTCTTAACTTCCTAAACCAATGCAAATCTAATTCAAACTACTGTCCAGATTAGCATACGTTCCCACAGCATAAAACAAAACAAAAATAATACTAGATCTCTTTTATCTATTAAATGTTGCTCAGCTAAAATGTACTATGATAGATTAATACATTTCATACTAACCTTTTCAAACTTGCTGTTAAACAGATTCTGCTCTCTTAACAGGATATGAACAGGTGATTTTAATGCATCGTTATATGTTTGTTTGGTTTTCTTTTCCTCCTCTTTTTGCATTAAATATCAGGTATATTTTAGTCACTGGAAAACAGTGCAGCTATAAAAGATACATACATTTCATCTGGAGACTTGGAATGAAAGACATACCAGATAACCTGATGTTAAAATATATTACACAAATCAGACATGCTTTAGGATATACTCATTAGTTCACACTAGTAAAAAGGCTTGCCTTTTTTTTTTTTTTTTTTTTTTAAAAACAGCATGGATCGATTTTTAACAACCAAGAGCTCTATAATTGCAGGGATAGACCTTATAAAGACCCGAAATTCTGTTTCCAAGACACTTTAATTCCGACGCCCAAAAAGTCTCCACAACAAAGCAGGCAGGGAAGAATGCCGGCTGGAAATACCAAGCTCTATGACACTAGTACTAGAGATGAACCTACGCTACAATAATGGTTGAAGAACTGCTCTATGATTCAGCCTATTAAAGAGATGGAACAACTATGAAGTAAATCTCCCTGAAAGTTCATATAATCTAGAATCTCTCTTCTAGTTTCAGGATCATCTCTGATTAATATCAGTATTTCCTCTTAACTACCCATACATATACAAAATTTTAAACGTTCATGCAAAAGGAGCAAGACTGGTATACTGGTACGCTGCAGTCCACAGCATTGTGGGGAACAGGGTCAGAACACCATCAAAATGACTCCACCTGAAGTATCAAGAGATGGATTTCCAGCATATTTTAAAACTAAACATAAATGTTGACTTGGATCTCAGATGATACCCAAATAATTTACACACTGAAATAAATTCTTTCCATTGTGGATCTGTCAGTCCTCTCACGTGCTCTCATTTCAGAAGGAAAGCTCTAATCTTAGTTACCATTTTAAAGCTATTATACTTATTAAATATTTGTTCAAAATAATAAAAACAGACTCAGAATTTTAACAGAACACTCTTCTGTTCATGGTTTTACAGATTCAGCATTTTCCCTCTCCAGTAGTCTAAATATTGCAACGTGAATTCTAACTCTTGAGCAGTGTTCACAGTACATTCTTCAATTTTTGCTTATATCAATCCACTGCATCCATATATTTCTAGTTCCACTGAGTGGAAAATGAAAACTGTTTGAGATTCCTACTGTACCATTAATTGGTAATGTGACACTGAAACAGTGATTTCACTGTCATGGGCAATGGGATTAAGAACTTTTGTGTAACTCCATTCCCCTAACAGGTACAATAATAAACTGTTAGTTCTTTAGGCAAAAGACACAAATCTGTTGGACAAAGGCTTCATTCTCTGCCTGTAATCAGTAACTTGAGGGCCTTCTGTAGATTCTGAACAGCAGTGCTCACATCTTCATACTGCAAAGCACTGCCAGCATATTTGCAATATTTCTGAGCTCTGGCAAAGTCCTCTGGAGTCAAACGGACTTCCCCTGCAAAAACACAATTATTACAAAGTTATAATAAAGGAACTCTGACTGAGTTGTCATCTCAGATCATTTATATGTTTTTGACTTATATTTGCAGTAGTATTACAAAGATCAGGCTACGTTGTTTCTTCTGTTAATTCTTCTTTCCATTCAGGTAATGCTCAACGACTTTGCTGCTGCCATTTGAAAAATATAAGAGAACCTTTCAAAACACTAGTATTTATATACAGTGCCTTTCATGAGTAAGCCAATACCTTTGAGAAAGATCTGGTCTTCATCTAATGCAGCAAAGGAGAGCTTTTTAGGCACAATAAGTTAGCTGTAATCATGTTACAGCCTGTAAGAAACAAGGACAGTGGTTTCTGTGCTGACTGTATAATTACTTTGCTCTCTCCTTCAGGAATAATATACTTGCAGTCAGAAACTGTTCCCTCTCAACTGGAATAACTTTTCAAGATGCGGAAACATTTCTCACTGCAGTCTTTTTACACATTTTGCATTGCTGTTTGATTCAATTAATGTTTATGTTTCCACTGTTTACACTGAATGAGTGGAAACAACATTAAACGTGCCCATTTTTGTAATACTGCAGAACACTAGCGAGAAAAATTCTCACAATAAAGTACAAAACAATTAATTGTCATTTATTAATTAAGAGTATTTTCTTAAGAAACGTCCAAACACTGAGAAATCTGTAGTGCTCACACACATGTATTCAGCTTTCTAAAAGGCCATTAGGGACTTAGACCCTAAGTGGCAGAACGTTTGGTATGAGAACAGTGTCACTGATGTGCACATAACAAAGTACGGTTACGCTAATGCCCCTCTCCCCCTCCTCAACTCTTGAGGAGTCTGGAGGCTAATCCCATGCCTTTCCAAAAACCTACCTGCAAATTCTAAACCCTTTACTCATGTTTTCCTCAGCACAAATTGTAAAGGATAGATTCTTATGAACATATTTGAATAATGATACATAATACTAAAAATTAAAACACATTTATTCAGTAGGTATCCTACAAAGCATTTATAAGCAATAAACAATTTCACAGATTAAGAACAAATGCATTTTTAAATACACCACAGATTTTAATATAAAATCGGTTAAACAAAAGCCGAGCTATCTAAGCTTAGCTTTATAACTTTTACAAAGTACATGAAGATACCTAAGTGCATTTTATTTGGTACAATTTTGGTTAGCTGGATCACTTTCTTTTAAAATAAAACTCTCTTGCTAGCAATACTGTGAGAACATTCACTAAAGCATCTCAGTTCTTATCAGAAAATGTCTATTCTATTTGCTTTTCCTTTTCCCTATCTTATTATTTAACAACAGTTTTTGAACAAATAAAATGGAAAGCACGTGAAACTACATTGGTTTGCTAGTTTTCAAAACAACCATAACCAGTAATAAGCAGGAGGGTAAGTGCTCTTAAGATTAATTTTACCCATTTTTAAATAGCTGTTGAATATTGAGGCACATGACAATTCAGTGAAATCATTATCACTGCAGCGTATATTAGTTTACTGTTGAATCTGCAAAGCCACATTAAGTCTCTCAAAACACATATACACAAGTAAATACGTGTGTGAGTGCATGCATAAACACAAGTGTACACTTAGGGTATTTTGTAACCTAAACAAAGTCACAGGCTAAAAGCAGCTGGGGACAATTTACAACCACAGTACTGAACATATCTAAGAAATTAAAAAGAACAAGTTCCCCTCAAAGTTGCTTTATATTACGATGCCAAAAGAAACTAGAAAATCATTCTTTAAAAAACGGTCAAGGCATCAGTCCAGTATTCAACTAATTTTTTGGAAGGAAGCCTAAACTCACCATTCTAATCTTATTTTTACAGTATGAGCTCCATTAATGTTTTGCTGGCATAAAGCCTTATTTATTATGAAATCTACTTCAGATGCTATTATGACATAACTTAAGGGGAAAAAAGTTAACTAGTTCAGACTTATAAATTGAAGGGTGTCAATCTCTTGATGCGCTGAGTGGCCTCAGCTCCCACTGAAGTCAGCACATCACAATGGACAAACAGAACAGAAATAAAACAGCCTTGCGTTCTTACGTTTTCAAAATACCATGGAACTTAAAGATGACATCTATACTTACATCAAAGTTACCACCCTAAAAGCCTGCCTATTTAAGTAACTAATTTAAACTTACACATTCTAAGGGCTAAGCTCTGAAATACCAAAAATATTGAGATAGGAAAAAGTACACTGTACTTATCCTGAAAAAAAAGCTGTTTCTGTGTTAATTCAAAACTACTAGCACACTAGTTATATTTATCACTGAAATGTGACAGACGTGGAATCCATAATTAATGTCAATAAGCATAATTCCTTTAGTTTAAAAGGGGAACACAGAGTGAAAACTGAAAGCCAATTTGACTAGAGCTGTTGAAAGTCACGGTGAGAAAGAAAAGCAGTTTCAGAATGAAAATAATGGTACTGATATCCATTTCTATTCAGATGCTTTTTCCTTGTTATGAAATTGCCCAAGTGCAAGGGCAATTTCATTAAGAATATTTCAGTGAAATCACTGAAACATGGTGCATACAAACAGTGATGGCAAACAGAATTTTTAGCAATGCTAATTACTAAATGTACTACTTTTTAAAAGTATTAAGTGCTACTTTAAATGACTTTTAAAAAACAGATGATCTTTGGTCCCATTAAAACAGTTAAGATATTCAGAATGTAAATCCTCAAAGATTTCTTAAGATCATAAAAACATGTAAAATGTCACATTGTTATTTCTACTTTATGTGTGGAAAATCAAATATTATTATACACACAACTAGAATGGAGAAATGGTTTCTCTATATTATGCCACCTGTGGAGGGAAGCAGAAGGGAATTTACGAAAGTTTTATAAAAGCTCCATGTAACACAGCCATGAATGCCTTTAGTGTTGGCAAAATCTAGGGGTAATAAATTTTTTAAACAAACTACGCCAGAGAACTGCATGCACATACTATACACAGTTGCCACACAGCTCCACGCTCTTTTAGTAGTGACATTAACCAATATGGGAAAGGCTTTGAATTGTTTAAGTTTTGACACTTTCAAAAGCTGAAGTTAAACACTGAAACCTGTTCCTATAGGACAGGACAAGTATTGAATGCGTCACACTGACTAAAATCAAAGGAATGCTGTTACTTTATCCCACAGCATTAAACAAATTGCTTCCCTCATGTTATGGGAAGGAAAGAAAATATATAATTTATTTTAAAAATATACATTTGATCTGACTACCACAAACAGCCTTGCAGAAATATGTGGAATATCCTGTTTGGCTGTGTCTATACTAGTACATTAAACAGTGCCAGGTAATGTGCCTCAGCACTGGAACTTGACTGTCTACACAGTCAAATTGCTGGAACTGACTCCAATATGGTTTTGGCCTATGCTAACGAGCACTTTCCCAAACAATTCCTGGGCATGATTTGTGGTTAGAGCAGGCTAGAGACCATTCAGTACTGGCAGCCTTCATGAACTACCTTGTTTAGGAGGTTTAAAAGTTTAATAGCATTGATGTGAATGGTTCTGTGCCAGCTGTTTTCAATATCAAATATTTACAGGCAGGTTTAATTTATTAGTATAGACATAGGCATTGCGTCCAAATCGTGAAGCAAGTGTACTTTTGCACTGTGCTAGCTCTATAGATCGACTGAAGGGCAACACCACTCCCTTCCTCCCTCCCAAAGAAAACCACATTTCCATAGGAATGGTGCACACCAAAGCCTTAACCTCAACGTGCAGCCAAGACCTAGCCAAAATACATACTGGGACTCAGGAACCGAGGAGGGCTCCTAGGTCCCACAGTTTAATACTCGGAGCACAGTACCGGTGCACGTAAAAAGGAACTTCTCAACAGGAGGTAGAGAAAAATGATTTCGCCTGCTACTCTTACATGGCTAGGTAAGGGAGGATGTTTTGGGTAATGGTCAAGCATGCTTGGCAAGAATACAGAACGGTCACAGGCAAGGACAAACACTTTCCTTCCCTCTCAAACTTCTTAATTCTAAGCATGCAAAAAAATTGTATTTTACTGTATCTCTGCTGACTGACACGTCCCTTATGCCCTCTCAAACTCCGACATAGTTGAGAGCATTTTTTCTAAAGCTTTCACAACCAAGGATCCGCATGAGCCACGTTGCCTTCCACTTTTGCAAAACATCCTAATGATAAGGTAACACCTTGTAACGCTGTTAGAAGATCCACATTTGTAGTAAGAGGAGACACAGGGAGGAAGAACGCAGGCATGCAAATACTCAGGTTAGATTGAAATAGAGAGTCATCGCTATGCTGGCAAAAGGTCTTAACCTCTTAACTACAGGATATCAGTTATTATGAATTGTTACACATGCAGGGTTATCTTAATTCATTCATTTCAATATTATTTATATTTACATATTTATTTAATCAGGTTATTACAAGTAAATGACTGGAGGGAGCAATGCGCTGATACTCCCCAGATACCAAATAATGGAACTTCTATTACCTAATAAGTAAAGTTTGATTCAAAATTTTGACATTTTTGGACAGTTAGAGTTAAATAAGTAAACCAATAAACATAGACAACTAGAAATTTCAGAGTAGTTATCCAAAAACCTATTTGAATGACTGTCCAGAGGATTGCAATAAGCTGATTATACAGATATGAAAGCTTTGCTGTCAAACAGTAGAAAAATCTGTTTTCCAAATAGCAGTTACCACGTGCAAGCTTATGTAATGCATTCAGCCATTCTGGTTAAGGAGTTACCAAAACCCTTATAACCCTTATAGCCCCAAGAACTCCAACACAAATGCCAAGACTAAACTGTTCAGCTAAAAGTCTGAGGTACTGCTCTCAAAGACTTAAATGTAACAAGAGACATTATATCAATGTCAAATAAACTGTAGGATGTGCCTTTTGCTCTTAACAGAATATTAAAGGTGAATATATCTTTACCAAAGGTAAATTTTGTTTTTTTCTGCAATCTTTTAAAGACCTTTTCTATGAAAGTGACTTTTTTAATATAAAGATGGACACACCCTTAATTATTTCGTTGACAACACACACAAATCAAGCTGAAACACTGAATTCCAGTTATAGCATTCCTCTTATTAAGCAGAAGGCTTTTTCGGGTAAACTAGTATTTTAACATAAACACCCCCTCTAATAACATGATAAGTTAAAATATCTACTAACCAAACATTTTAAAGTTACAATATACAAGAATATACCTATCCAAACTCAGTGGTCACAACAGGCCAATATTTGACTGTACCTAGTACTGGCACTCAGAACACCAATTAAGTATACTACCAGTTTTCCCTGACGAGGATAAATAGCAGGAGAGAATATGAACAGTTTTCATACCAAGACTTATAAACTTTCCCCTCACTCAACATCCGGGTTATATTGCCCACAAAAATCTAACTCTTATAATAAAACATATGTAACCTACCTTTTTATTATCTCTATTCCATGGACAGAACAACTCTTGGGAAACAGTTAATGATTTGTCCTAATGCACATCACTGTTCACACTAGAATTTAGGATGACTCCAGCTCTTATAGTCAGTCACTATTTCTTCACAGGCCATGATTTCTCTAAGGTTAGCATTTATGTGTGCAGTTCAAAGAATGAGAAATATGCAAATAAACATAATGTGCTATTAGGTTATCGCTGACTCTAACATCAAAGACAGAGGGCATCTAAAAAAAAAGCCTTGATTAAAGAGTAAGTGAAAATGATATCATTAGTAGTGTTTTATTATATTATTTCACTTAATATAGGTATTATTTATAATCAACATGCACTCCTGGCATACAACATAACTCGTATGCTGCAACAGAAACAGGAATATCTTTCTTTATTATTTCAAGAAGTAGATAAATAACATTACTTCTGGAGAATAAGTATGTAAGTAAAGGCAATGTGTGAAAACAAGAAATTAGAAGAGAAAAACAGAATATAGAAATAGAATATATAGAATAGAATATAGAAAGGCCATCACCAATATTACCATTCTGTAATATAAGCTTTTCTGAGGACAACATAACAAGTCTAACACAACGCTAGTGCATTAGCTCAAAACCAAGTCAGATAAGCAACACTAATCACACACTATAGCAAAGCTTTCAGAACCTATTAAACTCCTAGCAACACAATGTTTAGATGATGTCCATTCTTTTTAAAATTTGTGAATCAGCAACATTTTGATAACAGTTACACATTTCTCAAATTTCTTAAGTGCTGTAAATCATGGGGGGAGGACGGGGATGGGGACACGGGACACCCATACACAAAGTAAACGCCATCACTTTACCTGCAGACTGAGCACTGTAAAGGGAAGGATCTACTAGAGGAATACTCTGTGGAGAAGGCTGAATGGTATTACTTGTCACACCTGAAAATCAATACAAACAAAAAAAAAAAACTGGGTTATTTTTATTTACGGACTTTAAAAGTAAGTAGCTGACAAACTTAAACAAACAAAAAGAACAGTACAGCTAAACTGAATGACTCAATGTTTTGTTTTTTTGTTTTTTTTTTTGTTTTTTGTTTTTTAAACTTAAACAGCTCATAGCTTCCCAAGTCTGAAAATCTGGAACAAACACTCTTAAAAAAATCCACTGCAAGACTACAAACTTTTTATGAAATACTATCCAAGAAATGACAGGCTATTATTTACTTTATCAGTACTGCAATTCACAGCAAATTTTTTTCAAGCATAGAAAAATTTAAGAAAATACAGGTCCAAAAACATTGGTTACTCTAGAGTATTGAGGAAAACATGGAGGAAGAGAAAAGTGATTTTTTAAATTCAGACTTTAAATTCTGCCTCTTAATATCAGAGGGAGGCTATATTGCTTTATTTTTAAAGCATCATGCTTGACATTTCATGCTAGCAAGTAATCTCCTTCCTAATTCCTTCAAAAACAATTAGTGACAATTAGAAATGCTAGCTAGATTTAAAAGGGAAATAGCAATGCTAGAGAAAACAGCATATTTTGCTGTGAAGCATTCCTGTATCTATGTTCGCATTTTAGATATTATCACTGGATTTTATCCAGAACTATGCATATTTTTGCAGTATGTCCAGAACATAGTAGATTAGCATACAGTTATTTCTAGAAAATCTGCTATGTAGGGAAATGATGAAATACCTTTCCTAGGATATCTGTTATTTCATGGAATTACTGGTGGGGTTAAAACTATGTAATGCAAAGAATTCACGCATGCCAGCAGGCTACACACTCTAGTTTTCTGATCTGGCAAATACAAAGTGTACATATTTACTTAGGCTGAATTTAAAAACCAAAAAGCCTGCCTATCTTAAGGACTTCCCATTGATAAAGCTGAAAAAGAGCATCCTGAACTTTTCATAATGTGAAGTATTCTTAAAATGAGAAATTTGAAAAAAAAAGCTCCACTTCATACAAAAATACATCTACAGCAATCAAACATCACCGGGACTGGAAAGGGGACTTTCGTTTTTTAGACTTAACTGTAATTACGGTTAACAGGAGATGGAAAAATTACTTGTCCACAAATCAGCTAAATACAACTTGTTTTTTTATACAGCAACTGGGAAGAATATTTGATTTTAGTCCAAAAACGACAGAGAACGAGAAAGCTGTAGGAGCCAATATGTTTAGTAAGGACAAAATATCCATTACTATTATTATTTGAGGTCAATCACACTAAAGTACTAGCATGGGAAAAAAAGCATAAACCAAACAGAAGAAAGATATGAATAGTGCATTGAGCATGCTCATTATAGGGTCGTTATAACCGTTTCAACACTATGTTTGGTATGTTCCCACATAAAGAACAGGGGCCCATCTGCACAGGGGAGGCTAAATATGAAATGAAATCATACGATCTCATCAGCTGATAAATGGTGCTTCATAGCACTTACATTGTAACGCATTCCTCTTTAGGAGAAAAAAATCTTGTCTGCAGGAAAACTCTTTCCTTTAGTCCGTATATGCTTTCTGGTAAGCATTCCAAAATATAAATTATGTATTTTAAAAATGTAAGACCATTTTTATAATGTTAATTTATAAGGCTGCTTCTGCCACAGAGCATAAATACTGTTTTACTCTACAGGTAGTAGAAAGAAGGCTATTTTGGAATTTTCCTCTCCATAAAGGTATGTACTTTTTGGATAGAAGTGTGACATACCTGTGTTATGAGGTACTTCAGCCGGAGTGTTGGCTGGGGCATGGGCACCTGGTGGTATATGTATGCCAGTGTAATTACTAGTTGGTATGTTGTTTGCTTCATAGGTAGATGACGATGATGGTTGAGCTGTTCCGCTATGGAGAGAAGATGAGCCTGCTTCTTCTTTTTCGGCATCTGCTATGATGACACAAAACAGGAATTATTAACTCCCTTCTTTACAAACATTTCAAAACTCAGGCTTTTAAAAAACTCCTTTCTGTTTTTGTAAGTAGAAAAGTTGCCACCACAACATGACTTAAACCACTTACTGCTGATTTGATGAAGTAAAAAAACAACATAACACCTGATAAATATTGATAAGCTCACACACACTTTCAAAGATCTATTTTGTTAAAATTGAAAGATCATCTCCGTACTAGTCTGAATATAAAATAATGTGACTAATTAGTGTAATCCCTTATAGTTCCATGTCTACATTAACAGCGTTTGAACAAGATATTATAAACATGCAGCAATCTGCATTTTAATATGTATATGACCCTGAATAGGGAAAACTGAATGGCATTTAAAGCATTCATAAAAAGGAATAGAGCGCCAACCCTTCTACCCTGTATCGATTAACCAAACCACATACAAATAATAAAAAAGGAGCTTTGAGAAAGTAATACCAAACAAAAACACTAAGATAACTAAATGCTGCTTAGCTGAGCTGTAACTGTATTTAGAATACTCAGAGTACCTAGTACACTACACAAATATTAACGTTCAGTCTATCCTACAGCGTGTGCAAATACCATGTTTTTAAGGTTCTGGTCCAGTCTACTCCATAGTGCTTTGCAGACCCCAAGAGGAATGCTCTGGTCTTACTATCCTAATGACCCAGCTAATTTAAAAAGTGATTCATTTCTGCTCCTAAATCTGTGTTAAATCCAAATAAATAAAGCTAATTTTAATTTGCTATACATGTATCCATCTGTATCAACGATGTCAGGTGGAACAAGCATAGTTTTGGGAAGAGACTTTCCTAATTGTGAGTGCTTGAAAGGGAACAAAAAGGAATACAGAAGCACAAAATCTGCATGTGTCTAGAGCTGGCAAAAGTGAGGTCTTTTCTTTATGAAATCCATACTGACCTTCAGTTATGTATTATGCAAATACTTCTACAGCCCGAGAATAAAACACTCTACCATTATAAATATTAGAAACTTTACCTATTTAAGGTCTCACATCCTCCCCTCCAAATCAGAGACTACCTTTGGTAAAAATAATTAAATACATTCTAATTCACAATGCTCTTTACTTCAATAAAAGGCTAGAATGAAAAGAAGAAAAGTGGACAATATTATCATTAGGCTAAGGTCACATTTACTGAACTTTAATAAACACACAATTAAATAATAAGCTTTTGTTTTATATTGCAAAGTTGCAATAGTTCATCTTCACTTATAACGTCCTAATACTAATAACAAAATCCCCAGATCCACAAAGCAATACCAAGGACTTTTGTTTAAAAGTGTTAAAAAGGTGAAGAAACCTAGAATCAAAATTCCATCAGGAGTGCAAAGTACCGCCACCAAAATTTAACAGCAAAACACAGAATATGGTAAAATTTCTGTCTTACTCTTGTAAAAATTACTTTCAATTGCTGCATCCTGTAATTCATTCTGGAGTTTTATTTAGCTGTTTCTGACATATACAGACAAACATCTGGCAGATTTCTGGAAGGCAAAAGATATCTTCAGGTGCCAGATTTTCCCTCTGTGGTATTTTTGCTAGTGATTCATACTGTAATATCATCTAACATGGATGTAAGTGAAATTAAAGTGTTAAAACTGGTTAAAAAAAAAGTGAGATTCAAAAGTGAACACCAGATATGCTACTTTTCAAACAATAAAGTAATGATGGGAATAAGCCACTGGTAGCATGCTTTCCATGTTCAGTGTCTGACTGGAGCTAGTATTTTGGTGAAAGATGTTGTAAAAATGGCTAAGCCACTTTTGACAACGAGGGAGTGAGGAAAATCTGCTTTCACTGTACTTAATATCTCAGTTAGTAGAATTTACCTTTAAGTACTTGCACAGACGCAAATCTTTAATATACTTCTTCCTTTATTCTGCCCTCACAGCCACCTGATGCCCTAGTCTTGCTCTTCAGTCCCACTCTGATTTCTCAGTCTCTGTGTCAGGATTTCATATCCCAGACATAAACCCCTTGCCCCACACTTGTTCTTGTGCCAGTCTTGCACTACCTCCTGATCTTCTTTCCAAGATATTTCCAGATCTGGCTCCAAATTGCCTGACTGCATCAGTTCTCCATGTTCTCCAGTCACTCCTGCACAAGTGCACACGCTACCTGGCTCCAGTTTATTCCCACTATCTGCTAGTTTCCTTTTCCAGGCAAGCCTAATTTCAAGGCCAGTTCTTTTCCTCTTGGCTCTCTCTCCCAACTTACTCTCCTAACTCGGGCTTCGTCCCTCTGTCTGTCAATCTGGAAGCTTCTTCCTCCTCTTATGCCAAGCCAGTCTAGAGACTAAACAAGCTTCCTGCTCTTAATGCCAGTTTCCCATCCACAGCAGCTCAGAGCTATGACTGCAGAAGAGGAAAAACCCCTCCGCCTTAAGGATGCTCAGTGTACAGGGAACCTTTAGGGAGTTTGTTGGAATTTCACAGCTGAAGTCAAGTATGTGCAAACTGCAGTTTCTCAAATGCACAGAACTTGGGCCAATCTTCGGCAGATTTTCTTAGAGACAGGAAAAGCCCATCCCTGGGAAAAAAAAGGAAAGAAAAAACACCCAGTAATCTCCTGCCAACCTCTTTGTCCAAGTTTCAAGCCACCATAGAGATTTTCCATCTCTTTTTCTCCTTTCAGAAACAATTCAATCATTTTGACCAAAATTAATAATATGAAATAAAAAAAATCTGTACACAACATTGGCCATGGAAGATATAAACTCAAATGGTCAAAGTTTGACAATGCTATGAACAAGCTAAAAAAAGTGTTAAAGCCATTCTTAACAACAGTGCCCTTAGAGGCACATTCATAGAAGTGCAATATACTTTTAATCGGGTATATATATCACTTGGTTAAGCTCAACTGTTTGAGTCGCTCAACTTATTTCCTTAAGTGATAATTCAATTAGCAAATGTTAACTGCACTAAACATAAAAGTAGTTTTGCTTAAATTAACACTCGTTTATTAGGTGTTTCAAGTGCCCAAATGTCATCAAAGCGTAGTAAGTATTCTTTTTGCTAAGTAAACATTAAAAATGCTATTAATCAAAGATTAAAGTATTAGAACCACATTAAGATACGTGCTTGAAATATTCCTGCAGTTCTAGCAGCTTCTTAACAGTAGTGCTTGCAATTTTCTTAAGAATGCTGAAACATGCAAGGCTGCAAAACAGTTATACAATTGCTTCACAATCGGTTTCAGCTACAATTGAGTTTCTTTTCTTGTACCCTCATCACACTTTTGTGCTTAAATCTCAGCATAACGGATCCGTGTACTCTCTAGATTCTCCTCAGAGCTAGAGTAATCCAGACTTCTTTTGGGGGGGGAGAGGTGAGGGGGGTTAGTTGAAGGTAAGACTTTGTGGAGTAGGGCTGACACTTCCAACCTGGTAAGCAAATCTTTGTCCAAAGATCAAAACACATAATTCTTAAAGTTTAATGGCATTCCTTGTTAACCCTCTGGATTAAATCCATTAACCTTCTAGTAAAACTACAGGATGTCAGTGATTTTGAGATAAACTCTTAACTCACAGAAACAAGCATTACCCAGACACGTGGGACTGGAACAAATCTCATAAGTTATCCTTTATGTCTTCACATGAGTTGTGCCAGAAGTTAGAAACATAACAGACGTTTGCTTAATTTATCAGAGAATTTTCAGCGAAAAGGATCCATTTTACAATGTTGCTTAATTTATCAGAGAATTTTCAGCAAAAAGGATCCATTTTACAATTTTTTTTTTAAATCAAGATCTAACATAAATCTTATTTCTATTAGTTTACTATATAGCAAGACACACAAACAGCACCTAACTTGAGCATTTACAGCCCTATAATTAACTTCAGCAAAATATCATTTTTAAATTAGCCTTAATAGTCACTTTTTTTTTTATTCTTACATGAGGTTTGGAACTCCATTGCAAACTATCGTGACAGCAAAATCCATGGATTAATTAGTTTGGTAAATACAATCAGTGAGTTTTCCATTCTGAAGTCAGGAGTCTTGAGATTTGAAACGATAACATAAGTAACTTAATCTGCATTACCACTACAAATGGGCACATGCTTTGCAAGAAAATATTGTACGCAATGTGCAAATGTTTTCCTAATATTATCGTGATCTCAATGTCTTTTTTACGTTACAAATTATTATGCTTTAGATATCACGGAAAAATAAGTAGTATTGAAAGGAAATGTACGGTCGGTCTAATGTAAGGAAGGGCTGATTATGATTTAACATCTGCAGTCCAGAGCACTAATCTGAAAACTAGCAAAATCTATTTTTAGGGAGTCTAGAGAATTAAAAAGCTAATGTATTTGCTTTCATCTATTAATTCTAATTTAAAATAACTTCATTTTCCTCATTCTGCTGAACTGTTTCTCTCTAGCTTGGGACATTGCTAACACATGCAGAATGCAAAGGTCTCTGGCAATACAGCTTTTTTATATATATATATATTGTTATATAAATATATTATGTCTTCACATGAGTTGTGCCAGAAGTTAGAAACATAACAGACGTTTGCTTAATTTATCAGAGAATTTTCAGCAAAAAGGATCCATTTTACAATTTTTTTTTTAAATCAAGATCTAACATAAATCTTATTTCTATTAGTTTACTATATAGCAAGACACACAAACAGCACCTAACTTGAGCATTTACAGCCCTATAATTAACTTCAGCAAAATATCATTTTTAAATTAGCCTTAATAGTCACTTTTTTTTTTATTCTTACATGAGGTTTGGAACTCCATTGCAAACTATTGTGACAGCAAAATCCATGGATTAATTAGTTTGGTAAATACAATCAGTGAGTTTTCCATTCTGAAGTCAGGAGTCTTGAGATTTGAAACGATAACATAAGTAACTTAATCTGCATTACCACTACAAATGGGCACATGCTTTGCAAGAAAATATTGTACGCAATGTGCAAATGTTTTCCTAATATTATCGTGATCTCAATGTCTTTTTTACGTTACAAATTATTATGCTTTAGATATCACGGAAAAATAAGTAGTATTGAAAGGAAATGTACGGTCGGTCTAATGTAAGGAAGGGCTGATTATGATTTAACATCTGCAGTCCAGAGCACTAATCTGAAAACTAGCAAAATCTATTTTTAGGGAGTCTAGAGAATTAAAAAGCTAATGTATTTGCTTTCATCTATTAATTCTAATTTAAAATAACTTAATTTTCCTCATTCTGCTGAACTGTTTCTCTCTAGCTTGGGACATTGCTAACACATGCAGAATGCAAAGGTCTCTGGCAATACAGCTTTTATATATATATATATATTGTTATATAAATATATGTTTCCCAACTTTAAGAAAGGAACGCAAAAACTTATTACCTCCTTGCACACTATTCATTATCCTAGTGGAGACGGTAGAGGTTTCATGGAAATTGTCAATATAGATGCAGAATACTATATTTTATATTGCAAAATAAGGGGTGACTTTTACTGTATTTTACAGCAACAACACCTTGCATATTTAGAAACTTTCTCATATTTGAGATTATATTGCTAATTTTTTTATATTAGTACAAAATCTTACTCGATGACCCAGGGCTACTGTAAATGACCTTTTTGTGTACTCTGGACTTGTATTCCAACTGTATTAATAAATCAAGCATGTCATTTCAAGTTTCCACAGCAGCATCCTGACAAAAGCATCCATAAATCCAACAGCAGAAGTACATAAAGCATGCCTATGTTACTGTAAAAACATCTCTAAGAGTTACAGTATGGTTTTCAAGAATCACAAAGAAAATAACACTTTGGAAAAAAATGGTAATTTGTCAAGCTACAGAGACCTAGTTTCATTCTATTTAGACACAGACTTTTTCCACTTGCAAGGGGAGGAAGAAAATGAGCAAGTAGAAAGGAATGGGGAAGGTCCAGTCATATATTCAAACAATGCTGCTTTTCTTCCTACGATGCACAAAGCAAGAATTGATATTTTTCTTTTTCCCAAATCTTCTAATAAAAATTAATTTGCATAAAATCTTTGCCTCAGTTGTGTAAAGCATTATGGACACCTATACTATAGAGTTATCTGCCAAAAATAAAAGGCAAAAAGGATTTTTCATTTCATTGTTCAGAAAATTAAAGAGCATGAGAAATGATGTTAACACCCAAAAGGTACCTCAAGAAATTTAAAAAAATAGCCAAATTACATATATTGTAGGAATGTTAAAATTTTGTCTAAGTCAGGATTTCTGTCCATCTTATTTTGCTTGTAGATAGCACTTTGTAATGAAAGCAACAATCTTCACCTATTCCTATTACTTCTTGTAATGACCTGCAATGAAGACTAGGGTTTTGAGTAGTCCGAACTCTACTTTCCCTCTAACAACAGTTTCTTATGTGGCTTGTAGTAAGTCACTTACCTTTGCCTGCACATTAATAAAATGAAGAAATAGCCTATTTATGGCTGCTGAGGAAGAATTATTGTTTGCACATGTTAAAGATCACAGGAGCTACATACATTAATTTTAGCAAAAGTTTTGTAATCTCTGCTTAGAATTGCTTTTTGCAATCGTATAAAATTCAGAATTCATTTCACATAATCAGGAATTCTTTTCACATAATCAGGTAAGCTTTGCAAACATTACTAAAGCTAAGAGTGTGGTCATTAAAAATACTCATTTAAAATCAGAAATATTAGATTGGCCTATTTTTAACATTTATTTAAAAAAAAAAGCAAAAAAGAGCACTTTTCTCACGTTATCTTCTCTATTAAATTCCTATCAAGCTGGTGTAATCTGATTTATAAAGATGCAGTGATGTTTGCAGTAAGAACTGCACCATGAATTTATCTTACTACAGCTTTACTAATGGTTTAAAAAAAAACAAAAACTTTGCGTTCAAAGAGATAGAATGTTGAAAAAGAAATTCATTTGCTAGTGCTTCATTTGAAATACAGCTGTACTGAGGATGAAGCATATTTCAGTGGGTCAAGTAGCCATTCCAGGGTTTAAGTGCGTAGGGGGATTTTCGGTGAGTAAAATATAGTACCAAGAGTAAGTCAGTAGCTTGGAAATCAAAGTAGAACTTTCTCATAACTAGTTCACAAATACTTGAATTTCCTTATATTTTACTGTTTCTTTCACAAGAGTATTAATACTCAAACAGTATTTTCTTCATGACCCTGCAGGAAATTTTAACTGGCATCCAGGCTTTTGTTCACTTCGTTCACTTTTAACAAAACGAATACTAACAATAAACAGGGACAGATTTTTGGTACACATGGAATAACGGTGACAATGATTTATTTTATAGTTTACTGTAATAGTGCCCTTAAGATACAAACAATAATAACAGGTTATTGCGGAGAGTCATTTTTCAGACGTTTTTTGGCTAAATTTGAACTTCAGAAGAACTCTTGCCCTATCCTCCTCCCTACTGAGTCTGTCCGCAATCCTCACTCCTCAATGCTATTGATTCTCTTTTGTATCTGCAACTGAACAATTTTTTAGAATCATAAAATAACGTTGGCTGAAGGGTTCTCTAGAGATTGCCTGGTCCAATCCCCTGCTCAAAGCAGGAATAACACAGATCAAGCTGCTCTGTCCAGTGAAGCCCTGAATATCTCTAAGGACGGAGATTCCACAACCTCTCTTGGCCCTTGTTCCAATATTTGACCATATTCTTGGTGAAAATTATTTTTCCTAAAAACTGATTAAATTTTTTTTTTTGGTTGCAACCTACGTCTGCTGCCTCTCATGCTATCACTGCGCACTTCCAAGAAGGGTCTGGCTGGATCTTCTCAAACCTCTCCTATTAGGCAGTTTAAGACAGCCAGTGGTTGCCAACTGGAATAGGATGCTGTACCTTAGTGGAAGAACCACCAACCTGATCTTTCTATAAATAGTATGCAATACTTATCCTCCTCTTTCTTCATAGGCAAACCAGAAAGAAGCTGGAAAATATGACTTTATAGGATGAAAAGTTTGAAAATGAGAAGAACAGAGGCAGTATTTTAATGTTTTGACATGTTTTAAATAAAAATCAATATACAGAAAGCTACAAAGCTATTTGTAACAATGTTTTTAAATTACAGGTTCAGACTTCAAAATCCACTGAAGAGCCAGGTACAGACCTCAAGCACGAATGAATATATATATTTGTCCCTCTGTTGTACTGTAGCTTTATTTATTGATCCTTTTAATTAGAAAAATTTGTATTAATGAATTCAAGCTTAAGTGAAAAGAAAGAAGGGAATATTAACTTAACCGACACTATGCAAATTACTAAGTCCTGTGCGCCATGTACGCTACAAGCTATGCCATGTATGCTACAAGTTGAGTTGGGGGAAAACAGAGAGACCCCTTATTAAGGAAACTGCTATCAAAAGCAAGTAGTAAACTACCCAAAAAAATTAAACATTCATAACACATTAAGCACAGAAAAATTACAAGCTATGGGAAAGGAAATGGGTGAAAATATTTGGCAAGTTATCCTTGTATTATTTAATGTCGCAACTATATACTGTTTTTATTCTGACATATTTCCACAGTGTATCACTTTTTGCATGTATTTTGCTTGTAACATGATTAACTCAAAACCAAAATCAGTTTATATACACAACAGCATTCCTGTATCTGTTCCAGCGTACACAATGGCACACTGCGTAACAAGAGAATGGAGCTGTCTTTCTCAGAACAGGATGAAATGTGATGATTGTGCACTTGCCAGAGATAGACTGCACAGTATGCATTCTGTTGCTTCAGATGGAGGCCAGCTTGCATCTGCTCACTGTGGTGATGTCAGTTTAAGAAAGCTCTAAACCAGAAGGATGTGGATTCCCATAACAGTTCTTACTGAAGAACTAAGAGTTAAATTAACAGTGGACTGTAGACAAGTCTTAATTCATTAAACAGAAGACAGGAGAAGTTACAATGTTGGAGGTTTCAAAAAACCTGTTCTGAAAAATATCCATTTTGGTAAGTGAGTGGCCTTGGAAATCTTTATCTACCAGTTAAGGAGAAAAGTTCAAGGAATCTTGAAGAAGAAAGTTTGGAAATCAGAAAAGCACAGAAGGCAACTGAAAACAAGAAAAAAAGGGGACTAAATGAGAAAGTGGCAAGGAATCAAATCTAAAGAGAGTAGGCACAAGCCTATCTTGAAAACTAAACAACTATTAATGGAGGGTGTATGCATGTGTGTGTGGCGGGGGGTGTCTCACACATGGGTGTTTAGACTTGAATTCTATGATGAGTCAGTTTTCTATTCCTATTCAACTTCTGAGAGAGGATAAACTGGCAAAAAAGAACATAACTACAGAAAAGATTTGAAAGAAGGACAGCAGGAAAGGTTGAAGATATGCATGGTTCTGGCCCAAAGGTGACAAAGATGATAATCTCCACTACAGAGGGAGGAAAAAATATATAGATTCTGTTAAATAAACGAATCATAGAGTAAAGTCTAATAAAAGTAACAGTACAAGAAGCAGAAAAGAAAAAGCAGAAAAAGATCCATTGTAAACAAAACATTAACTAAACGGTGAAGCTACGCTTCCTGTCAGATGCTCCCTGAATAAAAGCGTATGCCACCATTTTGGTCTTGGCCCAGCCCATCTGCTTTTTCACACAGAAAAAGGAAACACGTACCAAAGCCTTCTCCTTCCATTCCAATAGGTCCGGGCTGAGGAGTCTCTCCATTCTTTAAGCAGTTATGAATGTATGCTGCCTTCCATCTGGCATACTTCCTGTGCTGAACGTTCTGGGGAAGGTAAAAGGCCAGACATTTCAACTGCTCATTTCTGTGACTTAACGTATTCAAAAAGAAATATATACAGGTCTTCCACCCTGGCAAGAGATTAAAAAATAAGCTGCTTTCTCTGCCATTATTTGACACTACTTTAAAGATGAATGACCCATGGGAAATATATCAGTGAATTAAAATCTAAAAAGCACTGCTCTAAGGGGATCTCAGCATGAAATGAAAATATGGAGATCTTCAATTAGTGCAACATGCCAGGAAAAATAAAGAAATTTAACCAAGACTATTTACTGCGAAGCACAGAGCACTGTGTAGTAAGTACTGATATGAAATGATAAAGAAAGTTTCTTATCTTCATAAACTTAGAGGACTATTTAATTCAGCTTTAAATATCTGAAACTGAAAATCCTACTTCTTCTGATCGATAAGACTGGAAATTTTTTTGTAATGATAATATTTTAAATTTCAAATAGGTATTCAAAAGTATGACTATAAAAAGGCTGTTGTAGCAGCAGATTAATGCAGGGGTGGAAAGCATGCTCTAGGACCTACAATATCTTGATTTAGTATCTTTACAATATAGCTAAAAATCAGATGAATGAGTTTACCTACATACAGACTATAAGCATAGGAAAAGGGCTTACAGTAATAATGACTTTGAATAAACTACTACTTACAAGGTTAATAACGCGTTTACTAAAAAAACATGAGTACTTCTCAAAAATGCTAATTATTATATTGGTGCACAATACCTCTTTTTGCCAATTCTCGTCCTCTGAAATGAAGCAGACGGTACTAAGCAATAAAAATGAGAAAAGAACCTGCTGCTTGCCTTTCTGATTCCATTTCCATGGTAATAGTTTGAAATTGGAAAAAAAAGTAGGGAAGGTTTATAACTTCATTATTTCAAATAAATATATACTTCATTTTTGACTATTTTCAGTTTCTGGGAAAAAGAAACTGAAGACAAGCGTTTCACTTAGGGCCTTCATAGATTCTTCTTTTCACAGAGCGGAACATCAGTGACTGAAACAAATGTTAGAGTCTCAACTGTGGCAGGGTTTTCCATTTCATTTTTTAAAATATACTTTGATGTTCCTAGGTGCAACATTAATATGGTCAAACATGAAGCGAGGATTGGCCATGTCATATCTCCTGGGATAGCTACCATAGATTCTTTTAATCCAGAAAAAGTTCTTCATTGCGGGAGAAATCTTAAACTGATTAGGCAAAGCAACGGCTTTGTCAGAAGTTATAGAAGAAACAACCACAGTCACATGTTTTGACAGGTATGAGGGTACTGTGCTTCATAGGATGAGGTTGAATATAAAGAGGTGGGAAACATGGAAGGATAAGTGAAGTAATTTTGCCAGGTGAACAGTGCAGTGTTGATAGCATGTTTTCTACCAACAATAAAATCAGAATACTACTTCTGGAAATCCACTGCAAGACACCTGTCACTAATTTCCAGATTAGCAATCACAGGGTAAATGTGGTTCAGAACCAGATGTACGTTAATCTCTTTAAAAGTCCTGACTGAAATGATATTCACAATCTTAGAGAATTAATAAGAGATCCAAAATTGTATTTCACAAAACCCATTGCACTGCTGCTCAGAACAGGACAAGCTACAAGTGCTACAGCATAACGGATAACGTCAGCAAGCTCCCTGGTTCCTATTTAATTCATATCAGCTGTGTCTTATAAAACATGTCTTCCAGAAAGTCATTTCACCTAGGTCTAATATTGAGAAGTAGAACATCCACTGTTTCCTCTAATACAATCTACTCATACTATCTAATCATCAGTCACTCACCAGTTATAAACATATACGTTATTTACAATACCCACTGTCTGATTTTAAGTGTCAACTACCTGCTTTCTGCTGTTGACTTAAAAGCCTTTTAATTGTCAATATTCCATACTTTTGAAGGCAATTCCATACTGAAAAGACAGACAGATGGTCTGACTTATAAGTGGTAGAAAATGTAGGCGTCTTTCTATAACCAGAGGCAGGCTGAGCCTTACTTCAGACTAACACTGAAGACTTCTGCAGAATTCTGTGACATCCCCATGGCACACTGATCCCATCACTCCTTCATGTGGCACTGGATAAGGAAACCGGTGAAACTTAACAATGGTAGCCAGAAGTGGAAACCTATTACTGTATTTTTTCTACATAATATTTTAATAAAGTTTTCACTAATTAAATGAATTAAAAATGAGATGATATCCTGCTTCTTTCCAATCAAAGCACTGCTGTCCTTTTAGCAACAATAAAAAAAATATATATATTCAAGAAGTAAGTATTTACCACCGCTAGGATTCCACATCGGCATTTATAACAGTTTTTTCCACACGCACAAAACGATTGCCTCAGGACCTCTGAAGTTACTGAATTGTGCACAGGAAGTGTTACAAGCAGGGACTGGATTCCTACAACCTGAAGTTGTGTGTCTTATCAGTACATTAAAACGTACACTTACTCTCTGGCTGTATGAACTTTGGATTCCAGGGTGCATAGCAGCCAGTTTCAACAGAACACACTGAAGAGCACGCCACACTTGTGTCTCTTGACAAAAAAATGTATATAGGAATCATTTCAGGCTATGGAAGACTTAGAATCCAAGTGTTCCCTTCCTCGGACAAGAAATCTATCATTAATATCTATACATACTACTATACATTAAGTACATCACCATCAAAACCATTCTTTCATCTTCCTTCCAGTCTTATAAATGAAAGGAGCCATAGCTACTGTTTTTTAAACCTAGCAAATCTTCCTGCACGTTAGGCACATCTATCAGATCAAGGTTCTCAGGGGATTTAAACACAGGATGTCTAGCCTGTGAATTCCAAACAAAGCATGGAATAGTCTGGGCCCAGCACAGACACAGTCACAGCTTGTTATGTGTCTTCAAAGTAATAGAACTTTTCTAAGGGAATTTTACTAGTGGAAACATAGAAGATTGTAGCGCTCCAGCACGTGAGAAATCAAAATATTTGTGAATTACCTACATGGATTTAGGTGTCCTGAGGTGTACTAAGCACTTACAAGATCAGCGCTTGCTGACTTGGTCTCAGATGATTTCATATCATTGCTGCTTCTTATTTATTGCTCAGAATACTCCAACCTTCCTTTAACGATCTTTGAAACGTCTTTACCAGACAGTAACAGCTTTCTATAAATTTTTGTCCTTGCCAAATGTTTTCAACTTTACCATTACATTTTCAAAATAAGTTTCTCATTCAGTAAATTCAGAAAGGAACATCTAACTTTTAATAAAATATTCCTTGTCCTGGAAGTAAGAGTGTATGTTCCAGCATATTTGAGATTAATTCTCCCGTGAGGCACGAGTAACAGAAAGCAGCTGATCGTGCAGCTAGGAGAAAAGCTTACTTTGTAATAGACCTAGACATTATTTTAGTGTGCCTTAATAAAAATAATTACGATCTCGTTCAGTCAATCCTGGAATATTTGTTCGCTTAAAAAATAAACTGCCGTGAACAGCACTAGAATTGGGTTTGTGTTAGTTACTTTAGTAGATAAAATTTTTGAACTAAAATACTAAAGTCCTAATGGTCAGATAGTAAGTCACTTTTTATGAAACAAATTTATATCCTTCCAGCTTCACATATCACCTTTTAAAGGTGGGGCTTGTTGCAACATCAGAAGTATCTATTCTAACTAAAACTGTACACAATTCCATCTCAATTATTGCCACTGTAAAAACTTCCTCCTTACAGGGTGAAAAAGAAAAAGGTGTGAAGATGGAGATGGCCAGAAACTTTGCATCATTTTTCCCTGCAGCCATTTATACTTAGTCAGTGTAATGCTGCATCCCATAATAATGACCAGACTTTGAATTTGAGACTGATACTTGTTAAGTCATGAAGTATCTTCTAATAGATTATACTTATCTAGTATTTCACATGCAACTTATATAAATACCTAGCAAGATTGCCTATGATTTACCAACATGTATTTGACTACACCATTAAAACCAACGGTCTTTGAAGTTCGTATTTACAAACTGTAAGAACATTTTAAGGAATTAAAATAGTAACTTGCATCTGTGCTATGAAAAGCACTCAGATAATACACTGGTATCCTTAACACTTACCTCTTCAGAGAGCTCCCCAAATACTGTCAGAACATCTATCAGAAGACTTGCAGTATAAAAGGACTTTATCATGTTTCTGCAAAAAAAGAAAAGATTTCACTAACTTGGTAACATCAACCTTTTAAGAGTTGGCAGTTTAGATTATACTGTCTTATTTAAAACCAATCATCACTGATTTTTTCCTTTTAATCTGACATTGAAGAACCCCCTTCATGATATTTAAACTTAAGAATAAATTGACTAGTCTCCTGACTACTACACAGAAAGTTTTCTTGTTTGTTTGTTTGTTTCTAAAGTGGCTTATATGTTCTGCACTTGGTTTATAATTTAGAACATTCACTAGACATCCTACATTAGTTCGGTATCAGTCTGGGCCTTTAACAAGCTTGCCAGAAGGTGGACAACCTCTTCAAGACTACCAGAAGGAAGGGAACAGTGAGCAAAGTTAAGAGACAGAGAAGTAGTAAAAAGTGGAGGTTTCCAAAAGAGAAATGAATGCATTAAAGCACAGTTCCTGCTTCCAGTCATACTAAGAGAGTGTGGATTCAAATTCCCTACAAATCTATTAATTCAGGCAACAAATCAAAGATTTTTCACCTACTTATGAAACTGCCCAGCTCTGTCTTCATTGTCTGCATACAAAAACATTTTCAAAGCATAATTTTCCACATGAGCACAACCAACAATTTCCTGAGTAATAGCTTCATTATCACCAAATTGCTTTTTCATCTGAAAAAAAGTTGAAAAAAATCAGACATTCATTAGCGTCTTAGACTTTGGCAATTTTACAATCTAATTCAAACACAAGAAGCTGCTGATTCTGACAAATCCAAGAAAAATTTAAAAAATAAAACACTATACCAATTATTTTACAAATCTCCAGCTTCTTAACATAATAAATGACAACAGCAGACTGCCAATGAGAAAATACATTATTTTGGAGAGAAAATTATTATGAATTAGTAGCTCTGAATAATATCCACTAATACAGAATAACTTTTAAATAAAAAAAAGAACTTTAAAAACAGAGACAACAACATGCAACTGTAATACTGCAAAAGAATAACTACAGATTTTTTTTCCTTACTATCTGAAATACCAAGAGCTGTGAAGCCCAAATGAGGATTCAACTCACTTAAATTGAAAAATAACGCATGTTTTGCAAAGATACTGTAGGTCAGACTGACTATACATCTTCTCTTTTGCAAGATTCACTACAGCAGATTACCTCTTTAAAGAGCCCCAGTCCTACCTTGACTGGTCTAGCGACCTACAGATTTACTGGAATTTTCAGTGTAAGCAGCATGCTGCCATTCAAAGACCTCTTTTCAAAGGGGTTAGAGTACAAGAAGCCTCAGGTTTCCTAATAAAAATCAGTAAAGCAAATAACCCTGTTACAGTTACAACAGGTGGACTTACAACTTCTGAATAGGCTTACTGTTTGCGCACAAGGAAATCTCAAGCTATCCTTTGAGAACAAAAACAGGAACACTGTGTGATACTAACCTGCAGTCCTTATTTTGCCAAAAGATTTAAAAACAATCTCTGAATGGCACTTATTTTTCAGTGTGTGAACGTGAAGAAAATTTAATCCTACAGGCTGCATTTCTATAATATTTTTCACATTGCTGCCAACTTTGCAATGCATATAATGTTGCCAGAAAAGTTACTTGTTTTCAGCAGTGAAATACAAACATTCCAAATAGTGCTTTAAACTTAACAGATTTTTGTGGAATTCATTTTCTACACAAAGTCTTTAAAAAGCATTAGTGTTTTTCAAAGCGTAATTTTGTTTCTTTCTTGTTGGGTGTATCATAACCTTTAAGTTGTAAAACATATATCTGAAATGAGACATTGTTGAAGTTCACTGAGGAAAAAATTGTTTATATATATTTTATAAGCCTATATATACACCTTACACTTAGAAAACAACTTAATATTAGACTTGATCTGATGTTCAATGGAGACAGTTTCAAGGGCACAAATAGCACTCAGTTGCATACACTCCTAAAAAAAATTAAAGTTGTCCAAGTTGTTTACTTCTGAAACTATCCTTCGGACAATCTGTAATTCAGTACTGCAGTACTGATGTTTTTAACTATGACTCATGATTTCAACCTAAAAATCACGCAAATTGGGTTTAATTTTAGTACAAGCATTTAAATTAAAGTTACCTACTGAAAAAGCAAAACACCACAGCTACATGTAAAATATTTTTGATCAAAACATGCATTTTAGATCCAAAAATCACCATATTTAATTAACTACAAGGATTTTTCTTGCAATAAGACTAACCGGTGATTTCTAGATGTTTCTATTGTTTTATCCCTTGCTAGCATAAAATTCAGAATTGTTTGCAAGCTTCTGCCTAACCTCTGAAATAATCAATAGTAGCAACACACCAAAACCTGAGAGAAACATTGAGCACAGATATGTGAAACTCCTTTATGCCCCCTGCTGGTTAGTTGCAGTCTGACAATGGCCACCGTCAAATTTCTGTAGCGATACTAACACTCCAACTTGTCGTTCTGCCCACTCTTCCAACTCCCCCCAAACGCTACACCAGAACTGCTTAGACGTGCTCTCTCTCTCCAGCTTTCCACCACCTGGCTAAATAGAACAAACACAGAATGCTGCCAAAAAAAGTTACTTGGTTTCAGAAGTGAATTCATATTCTACATAAGGTCTTCAAAAAGCATTAGTGTTTTTGAAAGCCTAATTTTGTTTCTTTCTTGAATACAAACAGCATCATCTGCCAGCATGCACGAATACTTCCTCCTTGTATCACCTGCCACATAGACAATATTACCATTAACTGAAAGACAAACCATCTTAATAGAGACAGACACCCAAGGGTTTTTGCTGGGTTTTTTTGTCTTTCCGTATTTGAAACGGAAAGTGTAGCTGCATACTGCAGATAGTCTAGCTCCTGCAGTACTATAAGGAATCCAATAACCTTGAACAATCTTTAGCGAATGTGGAGGAAAATCTTTTGGAGTTTTAATATATTCTCTCCCGTCACCCCTTCCTTTCTGGTATGAAAAATCAGAGCTATGAAGATGTTGAAGTTTCATGAAATAACACACCAACAACAATTCACTTCATCCTACATTTTTGATTGCTAAAAACCACTGATAAAACATAGCAAGGAAAACAAGGTATGAACAGAAGACAAAAGGTTATGTGCAGTCGGAAAAAAAAAATCTGAAGAATTGAAGGCTTTTTCAGTAGTTTCACACAAACTCTTCAGGCATTACTCTGGCTAGATTTTGAACAGAAATATTAATATTGAACACAAAATGTACCTCTGCTCCATTTTATAATGTTACTTTCTGCTTCCAAACTAGCCCTTAAGCATTAAAATCAATACACTAGTTCCTTCTGGACTATTGAAAACTACTCTACAAAACACCAGTCTAAAACAGCTACCGAAGCTTAAACTGACCATTGGTCCCTTTCTTTCTTAGTTTAACTCTATTTAAGGTTTTAGGTTTTCATATTATTGGGTCCTCTCAAAAGAGTTTGGCTTTTATCTGCACAGACACGATCATGCTTACAAGAATTCATATAAGATCCCCAATCTCTATTAGGAGATTGGATCAAAAGTATTTTAATCTTTTAAGAGTATGTTTTAAAAAATTCCCTAGGTACAAAAATTTGGGAAAAAAATTACAAAAGCATGAAAGACTAGGCTAGCCACTCCTATAGAAGTGGAAACAACTCTCAAAGACCACGTGGAATCAAAGACAAATCAATAAAAAGGTCTTTTGAAAAGCCTGCGTTTATTTCATAATAAGTGATATCTTTTCTCACTTATGAGAGTGAGAATATGTTGATGTAGTATCTTTGTAATTCATATCGTCTAAATGAAATTATAGTGTAAGTGTGGACTGTAATGAGGTTGGAGAGGGAACGAGAGCTTTACCTCCTTCCAGTCCTTCTGACAATTTATTACATACAACTTAAAAAATATACACAGTATGCCTGCATACAGAATATTTGCATTATTAGCTGATGACAGAGAAAAGACAACATTTGCAGAAGCTTAAATAGAAATTAAAGTAACATCACAACTGTAGAGGAGAGTAATAAATTCTACTCACAGCTTCCAACTGATCCATAAGTTTGGATAAAAATTTACGGCATTCTGGGGTTTTACTATCAATCTTCATCCCTGTTTGCATTGCATACAAACGGCCTTTAAAGGAAACAAATCAAGAGAGAAAAAAAAACACAAGAGCGAATGAGTATCTATGGCAAAACTCAAACTCAAAGCAAGCAATGTCGTTCCCCCCCCCCCAACATATCTGAAAGACAAAACTCATCTTGTGGCTTAACAAGGGGCTACTACAGTGCTACGGAGCACTAACAGCTAAATCTAGATACGTTCAGTCTTGCAGATATACTGGGAGGTATTTTTCTGAGTTTGCTTCATTTTGAAACATGAGCTTTCCTGTTGATTTCAATTGACAGTTTGCATTGCTACGAAGCAATATTAACTGCTTTTGCAAAAGACCACCACCCGTCATCTGCAACTCTCTCAAATGTGACCTGAACTCAATTTTTATCCCAAATTATATGTCAAAAATTTTCACAGAGCTCTTAACATATATGTATAAGTATTGAGCATATGAATATAGGCAGAAATGGAATGTCCGGTAGCAGGAGCTAATTAGCTTTAAAACTGAACTTGAACAAATGGACTTCAACATCTATTATATCCATGTATATATATACACATCCTCAAAAGGCACACAAGACAAACACCCCACCTTTATATCAGATAAGACAAACATCATTAAACTTGCCCTACAAGTAATGTTTCCATTTTTTCATATGATCTTGACATTGAGTGATTAACCTCTTCCAATTAAAAAAAGACCAACAAAACTACCAAAATCTATGAATTCTTTGTATGCACATGCCAGAATTGGACATGCTTTAGGAAAGAGTAAAACCAAAAAAAATTATTTTTCCCTAGGATTAAAACATAGACAAGTGATAAGGGACAGTAACCAACTGGAGAAGGTTCTTCACAAAGCAACCACTCTATTAACTCATGCTCCTGACCCTCAAGGAAGTCTTACAAAACATCTTCAAATGCAGAGCTTAAGAACAACAATGTTGTAAACTCTACTGAATATTATCATGAATTAGTTTTTATGGCACACTCCAATGACCTTCTTCCTGCAAGCCCTTGAGCTTTGCAAAATGAAACTTATTTGCTTAACAGCTTTATCATCTCTCCCTTTCTAAATATCCTTTCATGCACTACAGATACCTGTCACCCTTTTCTCTCAAAATCGTTTCAGTTATCACAAACATAGAAAGCAATTGTTTTCAACCTGTACTCAGCCTGCTGCTTGCTGCTGAACACAGGATATGTTCAACAGCTTGCCTGCCCTTTCCACTCATTATCAGTTTGTCTAATAAAACTGAACATCCCTCTCCACAAAACTTTCCTAGATTCTGCTGATGGACAAAACAATTTAAATCATTTTTCTAGATTTTAAAATTAGCATTTCACAAGTTTCAAATGCATCTGATTATTCAAACTAGACGAAGTGTACGTTCCTTATTTGAGACAGTAAAGTTGACACATTTTTGAATTTTAAAATAAAGCTGTTTTTGAGTTGTCCAACCACTAAAAGACTAGAATATTAAAGAGCAGCTAAGAAATAAAGAAGCTGTGCCCTTCAATGCCTCACTGCTCTTAGAATTTAGAAAACAAGCTAGCACCCTTCTACTTAAGTCTTCAGTAAAAACTAATCAAGTAAACATCTGTTCTAAGCTGAAATAAAAAAAATCAGGAATGAATACAAGGTATGAACAAATGAAAATGAAAATTGACAATGATAAATGAAAGACAGCAGTTCTAAAACAAATTGTATTTGCCATCAGCGACAACACTGAGATTAAACTAATTACTGATATGTACTCTCAAATCCATCTTATTTATCTTCAAGATGCTGACATATTATCATTAAGAACTATGAAATGAGCAAATGCAAAGTTAAAATTACATTTCAAAGAAATCAAACATAGAAAGATGCAGATTTGTATTTAAGGCACTCAATTTAAGTCTACTGCTAATTAAAATATCATAATCGTATGATGAGAGGTTAGTGTTTACAGTCTTCAATTAAACTGATTTTTAAATATGCACTTGATTGAAAGCTTCCCTTAACACGTTTCATGGTATAATTTAGTAACTTACCACTTAGGAATTAACAAAATGGATGTCAGATCTACGGGCCACCTAGATCAGTATTTTTTATTTTGACAGATGCAAATACTAGACATTTTCAGATGAAACCACAGGAAATGAATGCTAGACTGATGTGAGTTGGGGCGACATAAATTCAGAATATCCTTGATCACTACCGGATACAGCTTTCTCTTAAGCTATACGTATGAAGAATCCATCTTCATACCTCTTTCAAAATTATATAAAGAGAAACTCTTTATAAAAAGAGCTCTTACACATAAACGGAAATCTTGCAAACTTCTTTTTTAGTGATTAGGTTAATCCTCAAAACTCAAGAGCTACTTATTTGTAACTGTTACTCTTCAAGATTGCTACCTATATGTGGATTTTTTTTTCACATGCACTGCAAATACACCCATTTAAATATGGAAAACAAGAGAACATTTTTCCAAAAAGGGGTGTATTTAAAAGCCTGTGGCAACTGTATGCTTTGTAGGCAGCCCTAAAAAGCCAGTCCCCTTCCCTTTCAGGATTTAGAGACCAAGAAAAACTCAAAGACTCCCTTCAGGCATCCCAGTGAACTAGAGCAGAGGAGCGAGCCTTGAACACACAGAGAATACAGGTCAAAGAACAATAGTTACAGATAAGAAACATGTTTTTCTTGTCTATATACAAATTTACACTATGGGTGACTTCAAGCAATGTTCCTCATCAACATGACTTTCCTGTTTGAAAAGGACTCTGGGATCAAGGTGCCAAAGAGCTTGCAGGTCATTAAAGCTTGGAGAACTGTTCCCCAAAGAATATATACATTCCCATGAAACTATGGAAGTGCTCCAAGTAGGAGCCCTACACGCTCTACAGAGACACTATTAATGTCACCTGAGCTAAGGTTAAACGTGCTTCAACTGTCACTGCAATTACATCTCTGCACCACATGATCAACTATGCAATGAGACAGTTACTGCATCAAACCATCAATCCTTCTGATTTTAATCAATGTCAATACAAACTGGAAAGCAGTCTTCCTGAAGGATCTTACTAAGGAAAAGTCAAAGCACACTTAAGTTATCTTAACAAATGCAGGGAGTCCAGAGCTATCTTTCAAGAATTCTTAAGAGTTCAAAATTTTTTGCGTACTCATTTCATCACAGATGATGAATAGGTTCAAAAGGGGTACTGCATATCAAAACCTAGCCAGAGACAGACCTCTCATGAAGCAATGATTGAGGTAGGGGCAAAAGCTTTTACTTATTTCTCAAGTAGACAGTGAGGAAGGCTACGATGCTTGTGAAAATCACTCTTGACAGAGCACGGCAAACTAGTAGCATTCAGTACTGAAAGAGAGTCTTCACTGAGGGAAATGCAAAAATATCTTTGAAAGTAACCTTCTTGTAATGCAAAACTAGGCAACCTGCAGGTCAGAAAATGCAAAGCATAGCCTGCCAGTCAAAATCGTCTGGAACAGCGGCTTCAAATCATGAACTGAAGAAACTGAAGAAAACTGATGTATTAAGTATACTTTCCACAGTTTGAAGCACACCAGTCACAAACAAAATGTTGCCAAGAAGAACACTTGAGTAAACTTACTGCTTTACTCAGAGCTGCTCTAGTCAAAAGCAGGGGGAAGGCAGGGGACTTGAAAAACTGTGTCAATAATTATCAAACTTATCGGGCAGACAGCAAGTGATATTGTTGAAAAACTGAAAGATCTGAGGAACTGCTCTGATAGAAACAGAAAAGGATGAAGGGAGAACAATCTGGTAGTTGCCCCTACTGATAATACTGAAATGATAATAATATCCTTCTAATGTTTTTAAATACTTCTACTCCTTACATTTTTGTGTATTATTATTACACCTCATTCCTAAGGCAAAAAATGTAATTTATTTCCAAACACACTTTTTTCTGTGCCTGCATCTTTTGTCATCCTTCTGTCTACTCCCTCTAATTTTGAAATATCCAGACTATTCTAGATGAAGGTAACCTCTAAGAGAACGGTGTTTTCAATACCATGACTTTTACCACCTTATGTGTCCCAAGTCTTGTATTTTTCATTTCTGTGCAGTTTATGGCAATGCCATCAACATAAATATTACAGTAATAACATGCTCTCATCTACTAAAGGCAGTCTATTATGCCCGTATTATATCTGACTGCAGATGGGCAAATTCACTTCATTACCGAATATTCAGCAGCAATTAGCAGAATTTATTTTTCCTGTGTTAATATCTTCAATGAAATTTTAAACTGGCAAATAATGGTCGAAGAATGGTCTTCCATGTTTATGTTGACAGGAAATCTCAGTGGCAAAGACCTCCTAAGCAAGAGGCCAAATGTCTACCACCTTCAACATCTCTGTTTGCTGAGAAAGCCAAACATAGTAAGTCAAGATTTCTCCTCATTTCTTAAAGAAAATAGAGTAATTATTTACATTCCTTTAAATCCAGCTATTCTGGTTTCTATAATACTGCAAAAGCAATGGAATGCACTTCTACATTGCTTGCTGAAGCCACATAAATCCTGTTTTAAAGCAAATAGTTCAATTTCTAATAGTGTGGCGTTCAACTCCTAAACGCTATGGACACCACAGAAAGAGATACTCTTTTGTGTTCTGCATTACAACTCTATTTCAGTCAAAGAGATTGCCTTTTAAAAGAGAGCACTTGAATTTTTAAATGGCTTGAGATGCCATTTTACATCAAAATGATTTTGAAGTGCTTTCAAGCAAGAACTCTGAGTCGAACACTGCATAAAGTGCATGTCCCAAATGACCACAGTAACACACTGTAAAACCAAACAACTAGAGTTTTGGGAGCCATTTGCTTGGTTATCTTTAATAATAACTTTCCTCTGTGACAAGCCAGGCTGCTGAAAATTCTGATATAAAAGATAATTAAAATCACAGATTGTAGCTGCAAGAGTTTTCACGTTTTTGAAGATTAAACAAATTACTTGAAGAGTGTAGGTATTCCTGGAAATGACTTGCA